ATTTAAAGCTGAATTATACAGATGGTTATATGACAACCAGATGTAAACAGAAATATTTCCAAAAAGTACTAAAAATAAATACCAGCGTCAATATTAGTCCAGGCTGTGAGGCCGCTCCCGTTGGGAAAATGTTTATGATTCGGTTTCTTCGCGGATTCCGGTTCAAAAATGTCCCCTTTAAACAAATCTGAAGGGTGCCGGGCGAAATTTTTGGGCAGAAAATTGTTTAAACAATTTTTTTTTAAACAAATTTTAAAAATATTTTTTTTAATCTGGAAAAACGTTTTTTTAGGTTTTTTGGGTCATTTTAAACAAAAAAGGTCTCTTGTCATTTTTCTCTAAAGTTGATAGTTTTCGAGTTATAAGCGATTTAAAGTTTGAAAAACGCGAAAATACGCATTTTTGAGGCTTGAAAACACATATGTAAATTATTATTTTTGAGGTTACCAAGTGTCTAAATTGAAGTTTAAACTTCAAGATTGTGAAGAGTAATCGGGGCTTATTTAAATTTAGACCGTTGTTTTTTAATTGTTAAATATGCGCGTACACTCGATTTTTCAGCCGCCGCGGCGCGGCGCGCTAGAGTGCGCTTCTATCGTACTTATGCATAGTTTACATATACACTTACCCAAAAAAAACCGGAACAAATCCTTGAAGTTTATTAACATAGTTTTTTCCATAATTTATTTATGTAGGTATTAATTGTCATTGGGCTAATTAAATAAATCAATCATCGCAATGTAATAACCGTATATAGTTTTTTTTCTTCCAAATTTGAACAATACAATTATTATTTATTGGGTATATATTTATTTATATCAATTGTAAATAATATTTTTAAATTATTATTTAAATAATAAAATGCAGTAAATATTAATATTAGTAAACTTAATTTTAAATTGCGCGGTGTTTAAAAACAATATACTATCGCAAAAATGCAAGTTTTTACCTGTTTAACAATCGCGCGCTCATACTTGATTTGTTATTACTTAAACGATCATTAGAAAGACTATTGTTTAATGCCCATTAAAAGGGTATTATATTATTAATGTGTTATTAAAAAAATTGTGAATGGATTTAAAATGTCTTTTTCCGTACCTATTCTTAAATGAAAACTTACCGAAGAAAATTTAGTTTGTATTTTTTGTAATAATATCAACAATATTAAGTTAGTGCAAAAACCTAAAGTAGATTTTTACATAACAATACAAAATGCTGCTCTTCGACAAAAAGACAGTGTGACTGAAAAATTTAATTTAATCTAGCCAATATACCTTGTACCTCTGACGCACTTTACCAACACTTGTTAAGAGCTTTCGCTAAAACATATATTTGGCGAAATGCCATATATTCCCGCTATCAAACTCTCGATTTTACACAATATGGATATTATATGTCTGATAGTGGTGGGTTGGGAAACCGTGCAAATGCAAAAAGACTTGCAAAACTAATGCTTGAGTGATATTAGTGTGTTATTTAACAATCTTTTGTACAAATATTTTATGTAACTATTATTAGACTTTAGACGAAATTTATATTATAACTCAATTGATATAAATAAATATATACTCAATAAATAATAATCATTTGTAAGTATATGTAAACTATGCATAAGTACGATAGAGGCGCACGGTAGCGCGCGGCGCCGCGGCGGCTGAAAAATCGAGTGTACGCGCATACTTAACAATTAAAAAACAACGGTCTAAATTAAAATAAGCCCCGATTACTCTCCACAATCTTGAAGTTGAATGTTTAAACTTTAATTTAGACACTTGGTAACCTCAAAAATAATAATTTACATATGTGTTTTCAAGCCTCAAAAATGCGTATTTTCGCGTTTTTCAGACTTTAAATCGCTTATAACTCGAAAACTATCAACTTTGGAGAAAAATGACAAGAGACTTTTTTTTGTTTAAAATGGCCCAAAAAACCTAAAAAAACGTTTTCCAGATTAAAAAAAATTATTTTTGGACTTTGTTTAAAAAAATTGTTTAAACAATTTCTGCCCAAAAATTTCGCCCGGCACCCTTCAGATTTGTTTAAAGGGGACATTTTTAAACCGGAATCCGCGAAGAAACCGAATCAGAAACATTTTCCCAACGGGAGCGGCCTCACAGCCTGGACTATATACAGTTTATACTGATCCTAGAACTCCTGAAATTATAGTAAAAAATATTACACAATTTAAGAAAAGTCCATAGTTTGGACAATTCTATAAAAACCTTCAAGATTTGAACCTGTATTATACAGAGTGGCCCAAAAGTCCGGAAACGGCCAATTATCTCGTAAATTACTAGTTGTACAAAATTTAAGGTACACCTATTTGGGATACGGAGATTCCATATTTAGTATTTGCAATGAGAAGGATAAAAATGTCGTTAACAGAATATGTTTTTCCGATGAAGCAATCTTTACACTGCGTGGAAGTGTAAATCGACACAATTTAAGGTACTAAAATGACGTAAATCCACACTGGATGCGAGAAAACCAAATTCAAAGACCATAAAAATTAAATGTATGGTCAGGTATAGTAAGTACTCAGTTAATTGGGCCATTTTTTATCGAAGGGAATTTAACTTCAGATAGTTACGAAATGTTACTTAGAAATGAAATTGTACCTACACTGATAAACTTGTTTGGTGCCAATTTTAATTAGATATGGGCAAGATGGAGCTCCACCTCATTTTGGGGTAAATGCTCGGGGTTATTTAGAAAAGATATTTCCAGGACAATGGATCGGTAGACGAGGTAGAATTGAATGGTCTCCACGTTCACCTGATTTCAATCCTGAAGCTTATTTTTATTTGCGATACTTAAAAAAATTCAGTTTACAAAACTAAACCAGCAAGTCTTACAGAACTAAGGCAACGAAAAATCGATGAATCTCGAATAAATTCTAGACAATCATGGAAAAATGTAGTAGACGCATTCTACCATCGATTAGGATACTGTCAACTCACAAATGAAGTACATTTTGAACACTTGATAAAGTAACCATTGTGTTAAAAAATGTTGTAATCTATCAATTGTTACGTTTTAATGTAGTTAAAAAATAGTTAGTATTAAAAAAATTATTCAGTCAATTAGGCGTTGCCAGACTTCTGTTTTATGTATTCAAGCCCATCCAGACTACATAAAATGATAAGTGTTACATATGGTTGAATTCGTATTGAAAAGAAGGTTCCAATAGTGAGTGAATATACAGGGTGGTAAATTTGAAAAACCAAAGTTACTAATAATATAAGAGAAACGGCAAATCTGGCAACATTGCAAATATCAAATATGGAATCCTCGTATCCCAAAATAGGCGTAACTCAAATTTTGTATAATTATGTCTGGTAATTTACGAGATAATTGGCCGTTTTCAGACTTTTGGGCCACTCTGTATATGAAAACTAGATTTAAACACAAATATGTCTAAAAAGTACTAAAAATAACTACCATCATCCTGTTGATCTGATTCATTTTCTCCTTTGATTCAATTGTAAAATCGTTTAAATTCACTATTCCACATTATCTTGGTCATAAAAGTAAAGAGGTTGTAGTAAAAAAATTGATGCGACGGCCCTACACTCAAACACAGTCATTGAAACGACCATAATTTTGGACAATTGTATAAAGATTTGAATCTGTATTGTAAAAATAGTTATATGGAAACAAGAATTAAACAGAAATATGTCCAAAAATACTAAAAATAACTACCATCGTCCTTTTCCAGTAATTTTGATTCATCTTGTTCTTTTATTCAATCGTAAAATCGTTATTTCACTTCATTTTAGTAGTAGGAATCAGCGTAGTTAGTAAAAACTTATACGAGGATTCTGCGTCCAGACACAATCGGAGAAATGACGTGACTTTTGACAGTTGTATTAAAAACCTTCAAGTATTTTATTTTTATATTTATTATTTCTTTCGTACACCTTATATTGACAATATTCATGTAAAAAATGATAAGTTTTTTTTATGAAAAACCGAATTTTTACTAAACCGTTACCAAAAAATCATTCCTGTAGGATTAAATTCAAATTCTAAATCAAAATGTTATCAGAGACACATTCTAAGCATTAAGTCGTCATAATATGATTTATTTTAAAGCTTCACATCAAGCACCAAATACAAACAAAATTTAACAAGAATTGGTAACATGAAGAAAACAAGTATTTATTGTTTCAAAAAAAGCTTCTTTTACTTTTTTTGAACACTTAAGTATAACGGTGTAAGTAAATGCTGAATAATTTGTAATTACTCATCGTACATCTTTAAAATTTCATGAATTTTCAATGTTTAGTAATAATCTTCAATATTTAAACAACTCTGAATATTCCCAAAGTTAGCCATAAAACATAACAAAAATATCAACTTTCTTAGTCATCTTTGTAGCTTCGCACAAAAATAATCACATGGGGCTAAATCTGAACTACAAACAGGTCATTACCAACATAAAATTTCCACAAAATTTAAACATGTATATATTTAGTCGGTGAGTTTAGAATGCAGGATTAAGAAAATAGTTTTGAAGTTCACTCTGGCGACTATTTAACTAAAAAATTGTGTCGCCCTATGGAGCAGCTAAACTACAGAACTAAATATGAAAAGGCACGTTAATTTAAGTGATGTTTATCTATTGTAAGTCTAAAACGAGTGACTGTAGTTATTTGACACACCGAGTTATAATAACTGGAAAGAAAGTTCTGGAATCGATAAAATAATCTATGCTAGGTATTTAATTACCAAATAGTTTATTAAAAAGAAATTAAAGGACAAAAAATGTCAGTAAAAAGCATTTATTCAGCTTTAATGTCAAATAATAAGTCTTGAGAGAGAAATCACTTACAATAAACAATGGAGTGACAGCACACCCTGTGGGGCTTCCTTAAGACTACAAGTGTATTTGAATACGAACATTTCTCTAGAATAGTTTTTCAAGTAGCTGTATCAGCGAGGGAAAGCCTGAATGCTCATTCGCAAATACTTGTAGTTTGGTGAGTATGCTTTAAACCTCCAACACTTTATGACGCCTATACAGTTTTAAGTTGGGAGCCTTTTTTACGAAAGCCCCACGTTGGACGCCATTATATATACTACTACAGATATCACCCACTGTAAACAAAGTTGTTTTTATCTGAAAAATCATTAGATAGCTTGGAACAACAATAATTAAAATGAAAATGATCGCAATTTATTTTACAAATTCCAGAAAATCTTCCTCTTCAATAAAAAATAAACTATAAACATAAACTCCAACATCTGCATCAACAATTATATAAAAGTTACATGATCTAATACTAAAATTAAAAAAAAATCAAACTTAACAATGGATGGTTTACATAAAACATAACTTTTTAAAATTAATATTTACACTTTTAGACTTATTAAATAAGTAGATCAACATAATTTCGTTACGATGGACAATATAAAAAATAATGCTGAAATTACTTGGTTGGTGACAATTCACGACGTATTCGTGTCAAAATGTAATAATAGTGAAGTGTTACTAATCTTTTTGATCCAGTTATACAATTATTTCAGTTCAATATTTCACTTCATCTTGATCTTAAAACAGCATATTAGTAATAAAAACTGATGCGACGGCACATAACTTTAACAGTTGTACCAAAACTTTCAAGATTAGAAATTGAAATACGCAAATCCTTATCTGAAAACAATATTAAACAGGAATGTGTCCAACAAGTACTAAAAATAAATACCATCGGTCTTATACAGCACCTTTAGATACTTCTCTTTCATTTTCTTTTTTTATTTAACTGTAAAATTGTTTCAATTCAGCATTTCACTTCATTTGGTGGTAAAAATACAATAATTGTAGTAAAAACTGATGCGACGGCTGTACATCTAAACACAAATGTCAGAAAATGTAAGTAAAAAACGTACCACAGATTTGTGATATGTATAATCTGCATCGTTACTCTCATTAAGACACCAGATTCGTTGGTAAAGTTTCCTAAATCTAGAAAGAATAATCACCAACCAAGGCAATTTCAGTTCTTGTAAGTACTGTTAAAAATCTGTTGACTGAATAATGTAAATTCTATTTTGTCACTTATCGACCACATGGCACGTCCAATCTTCGATTTCCTGCGAAGGTGTTGTTTAGGATTTTTGTTTGCTTTGACCATTCAGTTCTCCAGTATCGTAGCTATTCCAATCTTTGATGTTACATCATAAAACTGACCATCATATTTTAGTGCTTGTGGTTTCAGGTTGCATTTCACAGAAAGTTAGAGGTTATGTTAGGTTAGGTGATCAATTTTTTATTCTACTGTAAGTCTATACACATATTTTCATCAACAGATTTTTAAACATGTCAAAATATAACTTCTATATCAATACAAAGTAGTGACTATAACTCCAGAAGAGTTACTGCCTAAAAATAGTTGTAAATTTTTACGAAAATACCGTAACATAACAAGTAGTAATAATGTTCCTATATGTGCAAAAATTATACACAAACATTGAAGAAGTGAGCGAAAGAAGAAACTATATGGATATTCGTTTACAGTTTGAGATACTGTGTAGCCTTATCCTCTAAAATAATCAATAGAGGCATGTATAAAGTAAGTTTAGTTTGGATCTCAACATCTCAAACTGTATCAAATGAAACAGCTTCTTCTGCTACTCACCTCTTCCGTTGGTACTATAAAAAACCAATTCAACCTACTCTAACGTTCAAAATTTTACCTTTAAAACACACATTATGCATTTTATATAACTCTGTTAGAATTTTCGTAAAAAAATAATCCGGAACAACCGAGTCTTCTGTCAATCACGTTGATAGCGAGACGCAGAAGATCAGGTTGTACCGAGCAATAAAATTTTCTGTTTTATCTGTCAGTTTTACATTTTGATCCGAAAGGAACATAAGTACTTTCGAGACTTCCCGCTGGCGTGCTTCTACATTCCGTCAGGCTTCGGGATGTTGGTGTTGTAGGCTCTTATAACGGCTGATTGCGATACTGCTCCTCCTTCTTCTTGGGAAAAAGCGAAACCGTCTATCAAAATACAAAATATATTATTATTTATTAAAAAAAAGGGAAGGTGAATTAAGAGGCAAGTTGCATATGTTTTGAGTTATAACATCAATTTGTATAAACTGTTAATTAGTTTAATTACAATTTTTACTCGCCACTTACTTGCTTTGCCCAGTAACAAGACGAAAAAACGTCTATTTTGCAGTAAAAATGTACGAAGCTAACAAGATGGTGGTCATAGAAAATATCATAAAATTTGTGGAGCAATGTCTTGCGCCTTACTCTGTCATATTTACGGAAGCAGCCTCTATTATAAGTTTTTGTTCGAAGCCCCTTATCAATGTATTCTATTGTATAGTTTGAACAAGTAAAGTAATATAGAATGGTCAATTTGAAATTGTTCTAAAAGCTAAAAATATGCTTTAACATCTAAAAACTTTATTTTAAAGGATGGGAGTCCAGAGAAAAATGGAGAGAGCAATGTTGGAAACCACTATCGAGAATTGAATAAGCAACGAGGAAATACGACATATTCGACATCTTCGAACGGAAATTTGATCATGTGGCAAGAATAACACACAACAGAAGAACGAGGAAGATATTATAATGATCCCGAGAACTCAAAAGAAAAATAGGGGAAGCTACACTCTGGGCAGATGATTTAAAAAGATTGATAACACGCTGGATCTAAGTAACTCAGATAAGTAAGATATATAATCCTCAAAGAAGTCACCCTCTGTTCAGTCCTGATTTGACACCAAGTGAATTCTTTTGGTCAGAATGTACAATCATACGAAACCATTACAGAAAAATCGATGACATATTGGTAAATAAAAATAAATCAATGTAGCTTGGGTAAAGCACATTTGAGCGAACATAAACTGAGATCAAAATTTGTTGGTAGCCGAATTTTAAGTACAGCGGAAGAAACTGAAAACAATACAAAACACACAATAATGATCCAGAAGTAAGAACTCAAGCCGTCCCAGTATGAGACTGTGTTAGGGGAACTCTATACTGAGTAGGACTGGAATAAACTAGTACGACAGTTCTCATCGTCAACACGGCGCGTCCCAATGACTAATCGTCTTCAGTGCCTTATCTGGTCCGGATGTTGGCGATCATCAAGGCTATCATGGTTTTGTTGACTGCTCTGCGAAACAGCTCCGCTGAGGTCATCCCAAACCATTGTCGGAGATTTTTCAACCACGAGATACGACGGCGTGCCGGTCCTCTTCTGCCTAATACTTCACCCTGCATAACAAGTTGAAGAATTCGATATTTTTCTTCGTTCCGCATCACGTGGCCGAGGTACTGAAGCTTACTTTGTTTAATTAAATTAAGCACTTCTTTTTCTTTTGTCATGCGCTGTAGGACCTCAAAGTTGGTGACATGGTCCACATAAGATATTTTTAGTATCCTTCTGTATATCCACATCTCAAAGGCTTCGATTCTTTTTTCAGTGGCTTGAGTCAGTATCCAGGCTTCAACTCCATATAATAACACTGGAAGAACGTAGTACCTAACTATCCGCATCTTGGTTCCCAAACTGAGATCACTGCAGCACAGCAAGGATCTCAACTTAATAAATGTAGACCGTGCCATTTCAATTCTGGATCTAATCTCTTGAGCGTAGTCCCATTGTGAGTTGAGGGTAGTTCCGAGGTAAGCGAATCTGTCGACTCTCTGGATCTCTTCGCTACCTGCCATTAGTGCCCCGGGATCTAAATTTGTACGGCTGACAACCGTGAATTTAGTTTTCTTAATATTAAGGTTTAGTCCGTATGTTACGCTCACAGTTCGCACTCGGTCTAGTAAGGCCTGCAGATCGTTTAGGCTGGTTGCTAGTAACACAGTGTCATCGGCGTAGCGGATATTATTGATGTATTCACCGTTCACTCGGATTCCCATCCGTAGTTTTGTGAGGGCTTCAGTAAAAATCTCCTCATGCCAGAATTTACAAGAAATGCGAAGAAAATGTCGGTGAAATGCAATTCGGATTCCGCAATTCCATGGGTACACGTAAAGCACTTTTCACCTTACAAGTCCTCCTTTAGAGATGCCGCGATGTCAGTTGTGATGTCTATATTTGTTTTATTCACTACGCCAAGGCATTTGACCGTTGTCAGCACCAGAAGATGGTCAACGCCCTACAAAGAGTAGGATTGAACATGATCAACATGAATTTATACTGGAACCAGCGTGCTCAAGTCAAGGTCGAAGACCAGCTGACCGGCCAAGTGAAGATCATGCGAGGAGTAAGGCAAGGATGTGTGCTATCGCCGACTCTTTTCAATATATACTCTGAGGAGATTTTTACTGAGATTTTTACAATGACTAATAGGAAACGTTTTCTTCTTCTTGTAGTGCCTATCCGTTTCAGATGTTCTGTATCAATCTGTATTTTGCACAGTTTGCTGCTCTGAAAATATTTGTGGTTGTCGTGTGGAAATCCTTCTTCTTCCTACAGAAATGCATATAAGAACCTATCTAACCCATAGGAAACGTCATATGGGCAAATAGGGCCATATGTGCGAATAAGGAATAAACTTGGTGAAATTAAATGGCGACCTTTGTACTTCGACTACTGCTTTCCAAATCCTGAGGTGTAACACCATCGTGTCCACGGGAAATATGACACGGGGGGTGTTTGCTATGCCATGCCTCATAGATCTGCATAACTCTAGGGGATTATAAATTGCGTGGTGAACATTTCTTGACGTCTGAAGAAACAGCAGTTGGCTGTAAAACATATATTTTATACTTACCACATTTGGAGTGGAAAATGATTTTAAAGTAGGCTTAAATAATTAATAAACAACGAGCAATCTATTTTTTGGGTGATAAAATATTTGTTGTTACTGGTATGACTCCAAACATATGCAAAAATCCTCATTAAGTTATTAAGGGAACTAATTTGTTTCGCTGTTTTTGTCATGTTTTTTTATTTTACACTTCGAGGCAAATTTCATTTTAACAGTACTCAAGATATAAAAGAAACTGTTTAATCTGACAAAATAAAGAGAAGCAGACAATTTATCTTGGTTCATTCCAATATTAACTATCCTCGCAGGTATGTTGTAAGTTGTTCATAAGTCTTGTACCATATCATCTTTGGCTTTTGTCTTCCGTTGTATGCGCTTTAACATAGTTGCCATTGCTATCTAATACCAACTAAGATTGTTAAAACTACTCTTCTTCTCAATCGTCATTTTAGTTGTAGTGGTAACTCCTTTTTTAAATGTACATTTTAGATATTCTGTGCTCTGTCAATTCCTTTCCTAATCACCTGTAATTATAATTTACCTGTTATCTAGTACAGCAATGGTCAAAATAAATAAGTATACGTCAAACTGCCAAAAAACTTGATATTGTAAAAACCATCTTCAGAGATTCGTCTTATGGGTTACAACTAACCCATGGAAGAGTGATTGTCGATACAAAAAACATTAGAAGGCCAACACCACTGTTATAAAAGTGAAAACCCGTTTAAAGTTTGTAAAAATCACATTTAAACGGTGCTTGGTATACCAATGGCTAACTCGTTGAAGCGAGGAAAATCAGCTGTTTCATCCTTATAACAGAGGGGTTGGTCTTATAATATTTTTTAATATGTTTTTTGTCGACAATCACTCTTCCTAAGGTATTTGTAACCTACAGTGTGGAAACCACTTATGGAATAAAATTGTTTGTGTCCTTATTTTAGAAAATAATAAAAAAACGTTGAGATACCGTAACTTTTAAATTTAAATGTACGCTTTTTAGACATAAATTTGAATGTACAGGGTGATCAATGCAAGTCTGGCATAGTGCATAATATGTATTTTAAATGAAACACCCTGTATATTTTCATGTTTTAAAAGCTCCTTAACAACTTGATTTTAACGAAATATATCATGTAGGGTCTATTATGAATAATACAAGGTGAAATTTTGAAATTAGGTATTTTCTTCAAGACAGTAAATTCATAGAATACCCGAGGTAATTGATTGGATTACATTAAAATAAATGGTCAACATGTTCTCCACCTTGTTGTTGGCAATAACACAGTCTCGTATAAAACTCGTTCCGAACTTTGTTTAAAGTTTGAGATGAATTATTCCGTATTTCTGTAGTTATCCTTACTTTTTGAGGTCTTCAATGATAGTTGATTGTGTTGCATATACTTTGTTCTTGAGATAACCTCACAAAAAATCCAAAGGCGTAAGATCTGGCGACCTAGCTGGCCGCTCACTAGTCCTCTTCATCAAATCCACTTATTGAAGACGATTTCATTCAAGTAATTTCTCACCATTAAAGCATAATGGGGTGTTGCACCGTCCTGCTGGAACCAGACAGTTTCATGCGGTAGGGTCGGATCTATTGGATTTGGATATAAGTAAGCCAATCAAGGAAGAACATCGTCTCTTAGCATGCTTAAATATTTTTCCGCTGTCAAATTATCATCTATAAATATAGGACCAATAATATGATCTCCTATAATACCTGCCCAAACATTCAACTTTTGACGATACTGAGTGTGTGTCTCACGCAACTATGAGGATACTCCGCTGACCAATATCTACAGTTTTGTCAGTTTACCTCTCCGTTCAATCTAAATTTTGATTCATCAGAAAAAAGGATTGTGCCAAGAGCTATTTCATTTGTTAATTTTATCCATCATTCTTTTGCAGAAATCCATTCTACGATCCGGATCGTCTTCTGTTAGCTCCTGCACAAATGTCAATTTATATGGATGAAGTTTTCTTAGGTTAGTTGTGTGACTCACATATTTTAACGTGCAATTTGACGTGAACTTGACGTTGGATTCTCTGCGACACTTAACAAAATATACAATTTCACTTCATCTTCAATGATTTTCGATTTTCTTTTTAATGGTTTGGCATATCTAACTTCTCTGAATTGTGCATAAATTTTGGACACAGTACCTTGTGAAATATTAGGCAACTGAGGATACCTCTGATTAAATAAGTACACTACTTCAACTTGACTTCTGCAATTCTCCCCGTTTCCGATCATCA